GGAGCTTACATTTTCATATGTTATATATTGTGTAATATTGCTGCTGTACTTCTACTGGCCAAATTTCAAAAGTTTGATAGTTTACTAAAAGTTGACTTAGAAATTTTGTTATAACTATTATCAGAAATTTTAAAAATATCATTGGCTCCAATTAAGTTTAATGTATGTGCACAACATAACATATGCTGAGGTAAAAAAAAAAAATTGCTATTATTACCTAGGTTTGATTCTACATTTAGCAAATTATTCAAATTAACTCTTTCTGAATCCAAGTCTGAGCAGTCAGATCCACTATCAAAATTTGAACTCTCTGAACTATTTTCATAAAAATTCCCCAAATCACTTGTACTTGCTTCATGAGAAGGAAGAGAAGAGAACATTCTGAATACTTTACCAAATTATAAGCATTATCTGTGACAATATGTGTTATTTTTGATAGATCAATTTTTTACGTTTTTGTAATTTGTTTTTTGTAAACCTCAGTAATATTTTGATAGTTGTGGCTTCCTTTAATGCGAATACAACCAATGACATATGATTGACGAAAATATGTTTCCTCGTCTATGAAATGGCAAGTCATTCCTATAAATGTTTCATAATTAATTATAAAATAATCAATATTAATAATATGCATAAGAACTAAGAAGTAGTGTATACCCATGTAATTTTGGTTATTAGCACTCCATACATCAGCTGTTGCACAAATATATTCATGTTTTGCTATTAAATCAGTTAGCATTGAAACATATACTTCATATTTCAAATCTAATTATTTAGATAATTGTTTTCTGCTATAGCATCATTTGATCTAGTAAGTCCTACAATTAAACGTTTGAAACTGTTTTTCACAAGTTCTTAATGGACACATTTCATTTACAATGTATTCAAACACTAAATCCTTCACCTGAAAATAAAATAACAATTAACACACTATAATAGTGTTATCTAACGCTTAAATGGTTTATATAATGGAGGTATTCTGTAAAAAGAGCATTATCTTCAAAATTATGTTTTAGGAGATAAAATTATAAAAAAAAAAAATCTATTTTTCAAATACAGTGTAAATGTTAATAAGTATATGTTAGTAATATCAAAACTTTGGGCATAACTATAGATAAAAATTAAATAATATAAAAATACAGGTAATTTTAAATGTATATAATAAATAATAATAAAATAATATTCCAATAAATAAATAAGTGAATATGAAAGATGAATAATAATAGTAATTTTATTATTTATTAAATTACTTAAAATAAAGTTAATTTGTTTATATATTATACATGGAGGCATATATATTATAATTTATATGTAGTAATTTGAGTTATTAGTTGGTTACATAGGTATGTACAATTATTAGGTACTTAATTTATGGTGGATTTTATAATTATTCCAGTACCTAGTATATAAAACATATATCAAAAAACAATTGATATAGGCTAGGCAGGTAGGCACCAGATTTTAGTAAGTCTATAAAATAAACCTACAGTATAAAAAAAACTATATGTACTATTGAAGTATTGAATGTATCTCATTGGTGTGTGCGTGTGTTGTAGACTGTAGGTATTATTTTAAATTTTAAAGTAGGTAGCCTTTTTATAAGCTTTATATTTTTGATTTAATTTATTGTTTCTATTCATCATTCAACTGGTTTAATAAAAATATATCAAAAGAATAGATTGAACATTTTAAACCAACATGTTTTGAATAAAATATATATTATAATCTTTAAAGTAATTAAAAAGTTTAAATATTGAATTATTTTTTTTTTTTTTTAGATATGACATGGATATAACTTAATAACATTTTTCTTTAAAAACATATTAGGTACAAAGTAAAATTAGGTAACTACCAGTTAAGTAAAAAATAACCTAATATTATCAATGATTAGATAAAACTAAAATTAATTTCATCTAATCTGTATTCTGTGATATTTTAGTACCTACCTACCTATATATTAAACATTTAAACAACAGTATAACTCCAAATTGGTAATTGCTATTGGTTTAATATTGTTGATTATTTTATGACAAATAAATTAGAAAATATCTGATCAAATAATTACCATGTCCTTATTTATTTTTGTTGGACGAACATCAATAATTTTGGTTTGAACAACATTTGAACTTTTCATGCTCAACTTCAAATTTTGGCATTAATACTAGATGTTGAATGTATAAACAATTAATTGAAACATTATTAATAATTATAGGTAGGTAATTTTCATAAATTATAATTATGGGTGGGAACCAGGTAAATCATAAATACAAAATATGATACATTTTGTTCTTAATATGTAGATATAACTTGAATCCTTGTAAATTGTAAAATAATAATTATACTTCGTACAAACTAATAAGAAATTAACCACAATGTTCGGATTTAAAAAAAATTTGTTGAAAAACTCACTTTAATTTGGCTTAATAAGTTTCCACTTGACTTAGTTGACGCACTTATATTTATACGACAGGTCACAGAGGATGCCATCATTTTAACACCATTGGTCGATTATAGTTTATAAAATTTTTCAAATAAGTATTGAAACTTCGGAAATTTTGTATTGCATTTTCTGTCGACGATTTTGGTGAAACGTCTGTACCAACGTTTTCATCCGTTTGTAGACGAACTATTTTGGTATTGGGTAATGATTTTATCATGTAACGGTCCATTTCAAAATATAAAATATATCACCAATAAAATAAAATTGAGTCTTAGACAAAATTATGAATCAACACTGAACACGTTGAGGATGAGAGTGCGCTATGTAGAGTAAGAGTTTTTAATAAATAACGGACGTTTCAAACCTAATATTTATTTTGTTGTATCAACAATAATATTATGTAGACACATCAAAGTATGAATTCATAGAATTGGGGTCCGGTAATGACAATTATTTAGAGCACATGATTACATGAACAATGGACATAATTTATATATAAATATTGAATTTTAAGGCGGTCGAATGATGATGGAGAACTATCGATTTCTGTATAGGTATATACAGCGTAATGAGTATTGTAATATTACTATTTTCTTATTGACAATTATTTCTGTATTTTTGTATTTATAAACCCTCTACCGCGCAGCTGCAATAATAACCAGTTTAGACCTATGGTGCGTTATCTCTGGTTCTAATATTCTTATAAGGCTCTTTCGGCGTTCGTAATACCACAGAATAGATTAAATCTAACTTTATCTATTCTGTAGTAATACGGGCATGAGACTTTCCCATATGGGCCATGTTATGAAATTATAAATAATTCCAACCTCCAATGCATATTATCATTGATTATAGAATTATCTATTCTATAATCAATGATATTATGTAGGTACTATATGTCTATGTACATAATAAATTGACATTGTTCATAATTAATAATAAATGCTATGTAAAACTATTTTAGAAACAATTTTTGCAAGTAAATATACAAATGAAATATCTTATTTAGTTATTTATTTTATATTGAATGATACAATTGTAGAATAGTTACTACTAATTTTTAGCTACAGATTTTGTGAATTATCTCGTTACATTTATCTAGATAACTATGATTTTTATTCAGATGAAAATTAGATATCAATTTTATTTTTTATCTAGATACCATATCTGGATAAATTTATCTAAAGCACAACACTGTTCATAATTATACACCGTTCTTGTGTTTATAATAAATGCATGTATAATTAGTTAAAAGTTGTTCAAAAAAGTTACGAGGAACGCTCGAAACAAATTTGGGATCATTGTCCCCGCTGTGTTTTTCCACTACTGTCCTGCATTAGCTATGCGATAAAAATCATGTTACTGTTTGACCGATTCTTAATAAATTACAAGGTAACAGTATAATGATCTCATTAGTGCGCACGATTTGAGAAATCTGCCGAATGAAATGTTATTATCACGTCTTGCGAACTCATCTGCTCGCGCAATTTGAAAATAGTTTTTATCGTCTCCGTCTTAGCACAAATAAATTTGCCATTAAATATTGATTAAATAATATTAATCTTTACGGTTTTATAACGGTCAAGTTATATATTAATTTTGATAATCATACACCATTCACATGACATGCACTTCGCCAGAAGTCTCTAAATTTTTATACTCAAAGGCCACTTAAAACATCAAAAGCTCTTATCCGTAAAAAATTGTATTAGTACTTATGGTTTTTAATTCTAATGAATTATATATAAGGACTTATTAATATTTTATTGGTTCCAATATTTCAAATTTCCAAGTTTCAAAATGTATTACAAATGTTTTTCCTACCTGTATTTTGATCAAATGAATTTAATTTTAGAATATATTTGTTTGCACAAATAAATTGTAGCATATTATAAAAATAATATTAAATAATATTAAAAACTTTGTGATCAAACATATATATTCAATCAAATTTTATTTAAAAAATTATAAAATTAAAAATTTATCGGGAAAAACTTTTTTATAAAAATCAGCTAAAGTTTCTTCGTGATATTTGATTTTCAGTGTATTATTACATTACATATCAATTGTTTCCATTTAAATGGGAGGAGATAACTTCTGAATATCACAACTAAATAGATTTTAAAAAATATTTTAGATTTTTCGTCATGGTTAAAAAAAACTTTGTTGAAATTTGATTTTAAGTTCAGAAATTATTATTCGGATGAAGTAAAAATAAAATAAAATTAAATAATTTAAATGTGAATATCCCTTTCCTTGTTGCCTTAAATGGAATTGTTAAACTCATAAATAATGATAAAGTTGATAATTAACACGTTCGCGCAATAATGCGCTACAACCTAACTATATTTTGAGATTATTTATCATTCTTTGAGGAGACTATTAAAGTTTGTTTGCGGTCACAGTTTGGATACCTCTGAAATATGTGGTTCAAAAACAAATTGTTATTGAAATGTAATGAATTATAATTATTAAATTATCTATATGGTTGTATTATATACCTATTGTTATTTAATTATATATTTATATACTTCAATTACGATATTGTCATCAACATTGAATTCCATTTTGTATTGTTCAGTCATTTGAGTGAGTATACTACTAACTAGCACGATGAAACTCTCATATATTTACATTATTACACTTACCATGTTTGCAATGCAGGAAAGTATTCAAAAATATTATTTTTAATTAAATAACGAAAATATTTTAAATTATATATTTTTACTGTTGTCTTAAATGTTTTTATGTTCAGGTTCACAATGTCGCTGCTGAAAGTATGTGGCAAAAATTTATTAGATGTTTTGCTATTCCGTTTACAAATTTTATATTTCGAACTTCAATACCTAACAATGTATTTGCCCTATTTGTGGAAGAAATGACAGATACATTACCGATATTCCTAAAGGTTAGTAGATATTTAATTGAAATATTTCTAGTAAAATGAAAGGAAAAATGGAGGTTAATTAATTATTCAATTAATCCCCATTAAGATTAATTAATCTTTTTATGAAGATTTTATTAGATATATAACAAGTTTTTTGGAGTTAGTGTTATCGAAATTCAAATGTTCAGTACGTGGTTGAGATTTTCCTAACTAAATTATTTTTATGAGCTTTATTAAAGATAATATTTAGCTCGCTTTAATCGTTTTAAAAATTATAATTATTTAGTGTAATAGGTTAAAGTTTATAGAATACTGAATTAAAAAAAAAAAATTGAGAATAAGGATGATTAGAACCATGTGGTATTATTGCTTTCGTTTTGCATTTGTATCATTGCCGGATAGAAAATAAATTACAAATTTATTAAAAATTTTAATTTTTGTATTATATTAAGAAATATTTAGCTATAACTTTTAAACTTTAAATTTGTTTTAAAAAAATATATTTTCATTAGATTAAAAATGTAAAATGTTTATATTATTAGTAGGACGTGGATTTTTATGTAATTACATAACTTTATTGAATGTAAATTTCTTAATTCCTATTAAAAATAAGCATGTTTCATAATACCCTAAATAATATGAGACTTTTTTAATTTACATATTTTCACATATATTGTTATGAATACATATTTTTAAATATTTCATCAATATTCACATGTTTTATTAATATTTCACATTTTCATACCATTTAAATACAGTTTTTGTTTAATTTACAATTATTATATTAGAATTAAATTAAAGAAGATATCTAAAATCTTGATTCAGATAAAAGAATCTCTATTACTCTGATATTATGCAAAATAATTTAACATATATTTCCAGAATTTTTTTTTCTTGGTGAAAATAATAAAAAAAATAAGATAATTATGAATAATATTAATTAATTATAAAAATTATGTGAAAAATGCCTACTATGTAATACGATATTTTTAACTTTGTCTCTGATAATGTGCCTTACCCTCAATAAGTACGATTGTATATTGATTGTTAGAAAAAAATTGTAGAGAAGGGTATTTGATTCTTGGTCTATGATACGACGTAGTTTTGACATTTTTCCGGGTTTAAAAATTCCTAGTTCCGCTTGTGTTATTTTGTTATGTGAACTCTAGTTACGTCTATTATTATAAATGAAATATTGTTGCAATAAACGAAAGGCAGGTAGTCTGACGTTAATAATAATAATTGTGCATCTCTAATTATGTTTTATAGTATTGTATTATTTTCGTTTTTGTTCAATTATTTAGATTACTTTATGTTTTTCAATTTTCCGTAAAAAATATATTTTTGAAGTCCTCATTATAAACAAGGGTTTGAAACCGAAAACAATTTTTCTGATTCCGATTTCGATTTCGGACATCGGTATTAATTTTTTCCGATTTCGATTTCAGTTTCGGATAACGATATATATTTTTTCTGATATCGCAGAATAACAGTATATATTTTTTCCGTTTTCGATTTTGGTTTTGGATAACGGTATTTTTATTTTCCAATTTTGATTTCGGTGTTGGATAACGGTATTTATATTTTCCGATTTCGTTTTCGGTTTTAAGTATCCGTATTTATTTTTTCCAATTTCGTTTTTGTTTTCGAATACCAGTATTTATTTTTTCCGATTTCGATTTTGGGTTCATTTTCGATTCATTTTTAGTAAATTATATTAATGTAGAATTTAAGACAAAACATACAATATTCGTGAAAAATTACAAATCAATTAAATTTATTTTTAATTCTGAAATAATATTATTAGATATTTATAAATTATACACCTGTCACTATAATATACGGCCTAACCTATTTTATCCTCCTATTTATTTATAAAATAAATTATCAAAGCACTTCGGATTCCATTGGCACTTTTTGGTTTCGGCCTTTGAGACCATGCCACTAAATACAAATCTTGCCATCTGTCCCTGTCATCTGCAGCTTCTCTCCATCTTATTCCTGGTCATATCGTTTTTATGTCTTTTTTCACACAGTCTTCCCATCTCAACCTGGATCTCCCTAAAGGCGTTTTTCCGATAGGATCCTTGCTTACGCCAGGCATGGCCCCCTCACATGAATCTTCTTTTTGTGATCTCCTTAACTATATTAGGTCTCTGAAACTGCATTTGAAGTTCATAATTATGCAATTTTCTCCATTCATTCGTTTCACTAGCAAAGACCGGTTCATATATTTTTCTTAAAACTTTCCTCTCAAATACCCCTAGTCTTTGTTCTATTGTTATCTGTCCCAGCTCAATTCATTCTGATATATTCATTTCTCGTACAATTTTTTCCAGTACCAAGTTAAACAACACTGGGATAGTGCATCCCCTTGTCGGAGACCTGTTGTCACCCTCGAGGGCTGTAATGTTGTGTTTGCTATCTTAACCTTTATATCCGCCTGGTTGATACTGGCTCCAATGAAGTTTACAATCTTATTTGGGAATCTAAATTCTTTTAGTATTTGTATTAGGATTTCTCTATGGATAGAATCATAAGCTTTTTTAAAATTCACAAACAATATGTGTGCATCCTTATTGTATTCCCAACTTTTTTGTAAGATTTATCTTATTACGAAAATCTGATCCATTATAGATCTATCGGGTATAAATTCTTCCTGATAGTTTCCTAGTAAAATCTTTGCTATAGGCTTTATTCTGTCCAGTATACAATATGCTTGGATTTTATACGTTGTGTCGAATCCACATTTCTGTGGATCATTTTTTTGTGAATAGGACAAAATAATGCGTTGATCCAGTCCTTCGGAAGTTTTTCTTCATGCCAAATACTTTCTATGATACTATATATTTTATTTATTGTTCCCTCATCTAGGTTAATACTATCATATAATAATAAATAAAATACTTATATAATATGTAATATGTAATATTGTAATTTTAAACCTAACACATGTAATATTTAACGCCTAATGATCAATTATGATCTAATAACCTTTGCCGTTGAAGCCTTAATTGTTAAATAAAAAAAAAGAATGGACAATCAAATAAAGTAATAGTATAGCGATAGCCAAACTTAATGCATAAAATTAATTTTTATGTAATTTATCTATAAACAGCATTACGTAAAATTGAACGGAGGTGGAAATATTTTGTGTAAAAACAGTCAAGAAACGATTTTTTTTTGTATTATAACATAATAACATAAGCTTTTTTCAGTGTCATTACAAGTACTATTTATTATTTTTTTTGTATCATTATTTTTAATTAAAATTAAGTATTATATAGATACCTATAAAAATATAAATTTTAATTTATTCACTAATAAAAGCACTTCTACAATGGTATACATTTAAGCAATTTTAACTTGTTTTTGAGTTGTAAAAATGTCTGGTTAGGAAAGTGGGTTACAAAACAAAAAGGTTGAAAATGAACTGGTTTAGTTAATAAAATCTCGTATATGTTAGGAAAAAAGCTAATTTGCACAAACCCTTTTTAAAACGTGGCCCGAGCCTTTGATAGGGTATGGTACCAGAAAATGGTCTGCAAACTAAGGTTTATTCTTTTTTCGAAATATTTAAAAGATTTCATAAATTAATAAAAAATCGTTTTAATTTTACTTTCTTTTAAATATTTTGTTTTCCACGTCAGTATATCACTCTCGTGTATGATTATTGAAAAAAAATGTATATAAATGTTATACACAAAGATATAGAAGTACAAAAAAGTATTAAAATACCTACGTAAAATTGCAATATGATGCGTGATCATAAATTATACTATTGAGTTTTGGTTTATTTTATTTTGTAAAACGTAACCAAACCTTAATATTTTTAAAATAATATTTAAATGTTTATACATGATTACACATTTAATAATATATACAAAATATTTAGATATGTATTGATAGTAAATTTCAATGTTCATATTTATTTAATCTAATTTCACTTTTTAAGCAAATGATAGAAAAAACATCACTAAGTGAAGCAGAAAAAGAAAGATACAAGAATCATATTGATACGGTGGTTCAATATTTCTCTGATTCATGCACTACCGACAGATTATTTCCCGGTCGAAAATTGCCCGAAATTCACACGCAGAGAAAGAATACACTTAAATTTAACGAATTAATGCAACAATATACAGAAAGTATGAAAGTATGTGAAAAATTAAAATAATAACTAGATTACTATTGAATTAATCATATTTTATTTTGAATAGAACCAAAAACAAAAAATTATCTATGACTTAACTTGAAATGATTACTTCTCGATAAGAAGCCTTAAACCAGGACATCGAATTATTGATGTATTTTTACCAACCCAAAGTGAATTAAAAGAAAACTAAAAACTTATTTTGAAGAAATACAAATATCGATAGTAATATCTTGATAGGCCATCACTTCCTTGCTCGAACAAAATATTATTAGCAAATGTCCTGCGAAAGGACACGCTTTAAAACTTGTATAATGCGGAAGGAAAATTAAAACCAATTTAATATTGAGTGAATTTTTAATTTACGTTTTCATGTTAAAAGTCTTCAATTTCAAATGAAACATATTATAATCAACAAAAAAATGATGTTATTAAAATTATAATATATCGATTTAATTTAATATTTATTACACATTGTAAAATTATTGTTATTCATAAGTTTGAAACAACATTATAATATTTGTCAATGGTATTAATATGGTACGATCAAAACAGTAATTTTGTGTACACTGTTCATTTTACACAATTACTAAATCAACTTGTGCAAAGTAAATCGGTAATGAAAACGTATTGCATTACAAAATAGTAAATAGTAACATAAAATACTAAGTATGGTCAACATAGATTATTATAACGACATTTATTATTAAAATTATTATTTTATATATAAAAATAAAAGTCTTATTGTAAGATTATTAATATATGTTACTTACTTATTAAATGATACCGAAACGTACTATTATTAATAAACTATAGAATTTATGATTTTATTATTTTTTTTTTTTTTTTATTTAACTATTAAAGCAGTAAAATTTGCATTCAAATTTGCAATTTGTCACAAAAAACCTTACAATTACAATTTTGTGTCACATAAAATATTCTACAGGTAGATACAGCTGTCATTTTTCAGAATCTCATTGGTAGAGTGGTTAATAACCATTGGTTACGTTTAAAACAAAGCATTTTAAATATAAAACAATATTTTACACTAATTTTTAATAAATTAAGAGTTAATTTTAAAACTATGGGATGTGTATCTAGGGAATGGATCTAGGAACTCAAGAATAAGTACTAAATTTAGTACGAAACAAATAATATTAAATTATTTTAAAAATTTTAAGTTACGAGCAAGGGTGGAGCTAGGGGAAGGAAGACATCTTCAGTCGTAAAGTTTTAATGAGTGTAATTTTTATAGTTTACAACTCATTATTTACTACTTGTTTGATATTTTAAACTTTTTAATGTTAATGAGCTTAAAACCCAATAAATATATTTGTATGGTAATCATAAGAAAACAATTGTAAGGAATGGTACTTGATTCATGATCTATAATTCGGCGTAATTTTAACATTTTCTCCTGGTATAAATATTTCTAGTTCCGTCGCTGGTTACGAGTTACTACTAAGTAATAACACATAAATAACACATGGAACACGAGTAACTAACTGCTAGTAGTTATACAACAATCTCAACAACTGATAAAGCCATTGACGAAGACCATTGATTGTGACCGTGTAGCCGCGACATCACTTAGGTATACCACAAGGCATACATTTTGGTATACCTTATCATTACAGCTTAGATTATTATTTTAATCTAATCTGCGGTATTACCATAGCATAGATAGAATATTAGATAGTATAAATAATACTATCAGCAATCGTACATTGTGCAATACTATTGATATGGAATTTATAGGTCGTCGCCATACTTCAGTGCTGTATGAGATACCGCCTGTTGATCACAGATTAAGAATTACTTGTTTTTCAGATTTTTTAAACAGTTTTAAACACGTTTAAAGCAATTAAATAAATATCTTAAAAATAAATAAACATGAAACATAACAACTATGCTCAATGATGATCTTAAATCGAAAATATTCAAACTATTTATCTTAAAGAGATTCTTCTGATCGTTTCTCATTAGGGTGGATCGATAAATATTATAATTTCATAAAATATTTTCTCGTTAAGCTTAAAATTTAAACTTTATAGTGATTATTATGATTTATTACTTCTATTAGTTTGTGCGTGTCAATTAGTATGTATTTATTTATAGAAATTTATAGACAACTTTGTTTTTAAATTGATTTAAAGAGTATCATTTAAAGGGTTGATTTAAGGTATCAAAAAACATAATGGGTATAATATAAAGTATATATGACTCACAAAAACAAAAATGTTAAATCTAAAATAAAATTAAAAATCCTGCATAGTTAAAAAAATAATAATAATAATGTATAAAATATGACGCTACTTTTGTTGATCTGAGAGTATATTTTGGGCGTCAAAAGAAGTATTGAATAAATTGAATGGACAATATATGACCACATTTTGGTGATAGACTGGGACAGATAAAGATGAAGTGACTATTATCACAAACTATGAGATCATTGAGGGTGTTAAAAGAAGATAATCATTTAATTAAAGCACAAAGGAATGATAGTGTTACCAAAGCAGAGACGGGAGAACGATAGTATGTTTTTCCTAGACATTTATATTATTAAAATAATTCAAATTACCTATAGAATATTAAGCAAAGAATGCTTTGTTAGACCATAGTTCAAAAATGCACAGTAAATGTATGAGTTTATGTGTTTCGAAATAATAATATTGATCATTGCACACAATATCAGAATAATCTATTTTTCCTATAATACATATTGTACGAATTAATAATTTAACATCTTATGTTTTACATTTTTAAGTAAATTAACTTGAACTAAAAACTTATTTTTATTGTAACTTATCATGTAATCTAATTAATTGCACGAACTTGTGAAACAAATCTGTACAAATTAGAATTAATAGAAACTTTCAACGTATTCATTAGCTTTACACTAAGGTCTTTTAGAACGTTGTTGATATCGTTTAAATGGTTCACGTGTTTGCCGATGAATCGTTTAGTAGTTTGAATTTTATCCAAGACCGATTTTATTTTTTTTTCTAACGAATTGTTGGACACATCTTTTAATCTCTAAAACGAACAAAATATAAAATGACAATTTTCATCATAATAGTCGTCAAATTAAGGATACAATTTAAAAAAACAAATTTATATACATATATAATGTATATAACACGTTTAGTATTAATTACTATTTATTGGTACATTACTTTTTCCTCGTCGATAATGTACTTTTCGAGCTGTTCGAGTTCCTCCGTGGATTTTGATAGGACATTAATTTTGAAAACTATATATTCAACGGTTATTGCCGTATTTTCGTACATAATTAATCCTTTTTTTTGAAATTCTTTCATTTTCGTGTCGTCAAAATTAGAACTGTTCCGGTGATTGGAATACTGACGCAACTGTAAAAAATGTACGCACACATTAACTTCATTTAAATAATTTACTTAGTTACACGTGCGACCTAGTAAAACATTAAATAACGGTTTCGAATCACCTCGAAATAATTATGAATGCAATTCTTACTTCGTCGATTGTGATGTTTAAATTATTAATGAACAGATCGATCATGGCTTGAATCTCGTGATCCACGAATCCATCTCTTGTCGAATTTCTCGCTATCTCCTCGGTAGTTATTTCAATGCGATCCAACAGTTGTGAATCTAACTCTACAAATGCGTTTTGTCGTGGTATCGTATCGGCCTGTGTTATTAAATTCAGTACTTCTAATTATTAAATAAAATAGTTTAACAGTGCCGGATGAAGTAGTTTCAGATCAGAGGCCATTTTATATTCCTTATCAACAAATCTCTAAAATCCAACCACCCCCTAGATTTTTAAATATTTTTATCTGGTTTTTCATCACTACGGTGGCTGCATAATCAGAAAAATGAATCACATATTTTACATTTGATTTTGATGATGATAATAAACAAATCTAATGCGCTATTGAAATCGAACTTTTATAATTTATTTATTTATCAACATATAATTTGAGGATCTGGTAATCGTGTAATTGTATGCACGTTTTAAGCGTTCATTATGTTTTTATTATAGAAAAAAAAAAACGCCAATCCAATTGATTGCGCATAAAATCATATCAACTGATTGAGTTGTGTCTGGAGTATTAATATCGTAGTTCGAAAAACGAGAAATTAGGACAAATAGTTAGAGTAAATTATTATTATTATTGCTACGTTAATCAACTAAACAAACACCGACCAATTCATGAGAATTCCAACACATCGTTAAGAATTTAAATGAGACGAAAAGAATATTAATGAACACTTTCGTTTCTAAAAATGTACATATAATACCATTTAGTGTTTATCGGATTATGTAATTGCGAATGTAAAATAGTCGAGCACAAACTCATTACGCTTAGGAATTTATAGTAAATGTTAATTAATCATAGTATTGTATCGTGTAAGGGATTAATACAGCCTACCTGTGCGTCATTTTTTTAAACTATAATAAAAATTTAACTTTTTTTACATCGTAATATAATTTGGAAGTAATGTAATATTTCAACAGTATTATTGATAACTGAAATTGTCAGAATAATTACCGTATTGTTAAAATCCAGTTATAACAGCCGTATTATACCGCTTCAATGGAAACTTTTCTCCCGCAGTATCTCTTCAATGTAAATCTCGAATTACTGAGTGACATGAACAGCAGATACTGTTGAAACGCGATGTTAAGAGCTCAACAATATATGGTGTATGGGATGTAAAATCATGGAATATTATTTGTGTTTATTTGCATATTAACATACGATTATTATACATCGTATATTTATGACATAGGGTGATATTTTTATTTTTAAACTGCAGTTTTTCTAATTAACGATGCGTTGTCGTTTCACAATTAGTCAACGTTTGGAAGATAATCCTGGGGGAGGCTTTTTGGATCGAAACGTCAAATTCAAAATATTTATGTAGCATATATATATATATATATATATATATATCGATGTGTAACGAACTCGATCTAGTTGTAAGACGTAAAACGCTGTTCCATATTCGAGAACCTATTTAATGTTTTTCTCTAACGTACCACAAGCGAAATGCGTCGGACGCAAGAGACCGTACTCGGGTTATCGGTGTCGTTGGTAAACTATAATGACAATGGCGTTCTTAGGCTCTTTTTTTTAGGAAGGGGGAGCGAACTTCATACATGTATTCAAAGTAATGTATCATCCTAGTATGATATAAATAATAAACAACAACAATTTGAAGAAGAGAATGCCACGGAGAAGGTGACTGCCCCGTTTGACCCCCCCCCCATGAGTGCACCCTCGTAAAGACGTGTAGTATCCAAAAAACCGTGTCGGAGTAAAGTAGCATCAAATATAAATATTACATTCCACCGACGGCACCCCCAATCATAACAACAATAACATGAAACTGGATATGAATAAACAATTTCATTATTTCTTTTTTTCTTTCACGCGTGTTACTTACCTCGACGTACGCCTGCAGATACCAAGCCATCACCAAGGCTAACCACAGCTGCTGCATGAACTCCATGACGGTTTGACTCATCTCGATACGTTCTGCTCCGGCCGACGGTCTGTGGTTCACTAAAACGGACCGGAGATTAAACTTGTACACTACAACGCGCGCTCTCATGTAATATGTATATTTGTATTTATTTCATACGCATATGTACATTTATATATATATATATTTTTTTTTTCTTACCGGGTACTGTTATTCTGTTTCTGGTTTTGTAACGGACAACCGTCTCCGCTAATGTTAACATAATAAAATAATATATTATCGTATTAAAAAACCACCGTAAACACGTACCCGTGTATTTCACCAGCGCACGTGTTCTCAAAATGGTATGACATCTACTTATACGGTGCGCACCCCTTCCCGTACTACAATAATACTAGTCAAAGACTGCAAGGGTGGCAAAATATTTTCACGCTACGTGCCAAAAATTAAATTTTTCTCTCTCCGAGTCTGCCGTTAAATATTATAGAAAAATATAGGTATATCATAGGAAAATATTTATTATCAATGTATAAGTATAAAAAATATAATATTTTAATACAGGTAAATATATAATTACGTTACTTTAGTAATTATTCGTAATTTCTTTTGTTGAATTGCCAATTCGTTGATATTTGGCTAATAATCAGTAACTTTTAATAAAGTATAAACGAAACTACATTCATCAGTTATCCGCTTCATTAAACCAGATTTTATAAAATTATTTTTAAACGTATTGACTTACATGAATAAGTTAAAAAAAACAGACAAATTTGTAGATAGTACTATGATACATCATGTTACGTATGGTGTGTTGTTTACGTTCTTAACGAATCAACAATTTAATTTTCAGAAAAACGTCAACAATAGTAAACAGAACTAATATTGTGATGTTGTTTTCTTCTTTTTCTTATCCTTCGCCTTTCTCCCAATTATTTGGGGTCGTCCACCTTTGTCCTAAACCTCCATTCGTCCCGATTGTCTACATCATTGTGATGTTGTAATTTATTATTAAAGACAAAAATATAATATAAATATTTTAATTTAGTATAGCCTTCAACATTTTATTGCGTACCATGGACTTTTCATATCTGATATAGAGTATTGTATAATATTTTTAATTGTGTACCTGTGTGTTAAGCTCGAACGGTATTTTTCAGAAAAAAAATCTAGTCTTGCTGATTTAAAATAATTTTTTTACGCGATACATATGAATATTTGTTTGAGTGCTTAAAAAAAAAAAAAAACTAATCCAACAACAACAAATTTATCAATACTTCATTTAGTTTAAGTTTTCTAAAAAAAGATTAAGAGAAAATTAAATATATTTAAATAGTACATACGAAATAGATAACCAATTTGTGAAACAATGGTTTTGCGCAAAATAACATTCGTTCAATGAACCGTATAGAGAAAATATGTTTATTATACACTCGTGGATCATCAGTGAGAATTGATACTTAAATTGAATTATTTTTATTTTCTAGGTATACGTGTATACTTGTTTTAGTTATTCGTGCGGAATACATTCCTCAAAGATTCAAAAAGTATTTAACTGAGAAGGTACGTCGTTGATAATTTTTAAACACTATATTCTATATACTATATTCTTCGACGAACACATCCCTCGTTACCAAATATTACTTGCCAATAAACACTGTACTGTTATTAGTTACTATCGTAAGAGTAGAGTAAGAGTAGAATTAAGCTGTTTATAAATCGCATACAGAAAATGTGTTTTTTTTTCGTTTTGATGACCCGACCTGTTCGTTACAATCAGTGGCGATATACTGAAATGCTCTCGTTATGGTCGATAATATCACAACGACCGACTGCAATCATTGAAAACTCTGAAGGACGTCGTTGCCACTATCGGACGATTTCGAATTAAGCACAATACGGGAAACAAAACAATGTATTGCAATATTGTTATCCTGCGAACAGCGAGGTCACCGGGTAATAATTATGACGGTGACAACGTTCTAAGAGTACGACGGAAATGGTTATTAGGGGTCGCATTAATACTTCCGAAAAATGATTGTAAGAGATGAAATGAAGAGATCGAATGAAAAACATTTGACGGTACCACCAATGTCATTAAATACAACATCGCGAAATATGGGTAAACGTAAATAAAGAATTTTATAATAACACGATGTTTACATCAATTTGATCGTATGTTGTTATTAATCATAACCAGCATAAAAAATAAAATATTGAAGGGCAAATTTAATGCGAAATTTAAACAATGATAACCGTTAATAACCTAATACCGTTAGTATTAAAAAATTGAAAACATTTAGAAATCATTAATAGATGATATATTTCGCGACTATAGTTATTCAAATTGAAAAAATAAAATCAAAATTCAGTAAAACGTTCAGCATAAAAATAAATTTAAAATGTTATGCATTATCAATACCTTTTTATTTTTAAACTATTTTAATAAGTTTTTTTTTTTTTTTAATTGGAATAAATTAAATTCCATTGAATCTACACGAAATAAATCACTGTACCTGAGTACAATTACGATTTGGTTAGGTCAGTTTACAGTTAAGTGTAGTACTATTGATTCCAATAAATAATGATTTCTTTTTCCTAGCGATACTAATAAGTCAGAAGCGATATCATGGTCTTAAAGCCATTTCTGGTGAATGATAAAAATTTATACGTAATTGATTTTTTATGCTCTTATTGAGCGTTTTTATAGTTCAAAAAATAAAATGCATAATACATTTTAATGTAACTTTAATAATTTTTTTTATAAACTATAATCGGTCTAATTATTTTCATGAATAACGTTCGTGACTATTGTTTATTTTTATTAATGTTTGTATTTAATTTAAATATATATTTTAGTTTTATGACCGACTTATTTCTATTAATTCCGTTTTTTATTACAAACGTATAGTGTTTGAGCCCAGCAGTTTCTGAAGAAGTTCATATTTTTAACTTTTACGTTAGAACCAATGATTGTTTTACATATTTTGAATTTGAATTTACTTTTTATAATATATTGTTTTCGCAAATCCATCTTAGTAGTAATTTATTTCTCTAGATTATTAGTTGTTAAATCTATTTATCAATTTTTTATTATTCTGTATATAAGACAATACACTTATGTATTTTTATCTTACAAGTATATTTTGAGCAAATCAAGAACGTTTACTAAATAAATTATCTGTTTTGATTAAACTTACATGTGGGAAATTTCACAGAGCATATTACTGTTTGTAAGTTAAACACTGATGATCCTTAAGCTGTATTTTTGGCTTTTTTAGTGGTTTTTGGAAAATAGTAGAAATTTTAAAAAAAAAACTATTGTTTATGATATCTATATTTCTTTCGATAGGCGCTTCCATTTATTCGATAGAACAAATAATTCTAAAATGTGTAATATGAAATTTTATATACAACTAGCCTTAAAAAATTTTATTTACATATACTGATTTATTTTTTTAATTTTTTTAATGTATTGATATTTTTATTTCTCAAAAGTGATTTATTACCATATTATTGATACATTCATTAAGTTTATGGCCATTTTGCCGTTCGATGCATATAATACTTCGTGGATAGGGTTTCCTTTACATAACACATGGTACCCAAAAATAATTTTAAAAATGAGAAACTATTGTAAATTCTTATTTAGTACGCATTTAAGTCTTAAACTGTGTACAAAAGTGATACATATACATACTATATATAACTAGCAAATAAATACATTAGCTTTATCTGAATAATATGGAATTATTTTATTTTCCGCCTTACGGTAGTTTAGTTTTATAGTTTTCAGCTTAATTAAATTTCAGAATAATATTTGAGAGCAGCTGAAAAACAAATAAAAGTTGATATTGGCCATACAAATTATTATTGCTTAACTGCTTAAATGTGTAAACTATAATAATGTACTCGGTACGGTAATTGCATGAACAATCGGAAATCAAAGTGTAAAATATAGTTCCTACCATGTACCCGCCAGATCAAGCGCCGGACAATTATAAAAATATCAATTACATTTATTTTTGAATCATCTAAATGCGTTCGATTGTATTATAACTTAAATGATCGTACTCAGTTTTCATAAAAACAAGTTTCAAGAGAATAATAAGTGGTAAACCTACAAATCGTTATTGATTACAATCCCTATTAGCCGTCTGAAGTTTAACTAGCTTAATATCCACTCAGTAGCTGTATTATAGCACATAACTATTGTAGTATGCTTGTACTTCATCGCAGAACATCAAAGGTTTAATGAAAAACGCAAAAATATGTAATTTTGAAGCGAGGATATCCCAGACATCAGATATCAGTTTCCGGATTCGTGTAAGAAAAACAAATAAAACTTCTAAAATCGGGGATTGGTAATTATTAGTAGCGGTTGATTCATATTTTATTTTTTTGATTTGGCCATCATACGAAGTCTCATATTTATTAAGTACAATAAGTAGTTTTATTGGTTTTGAAATATAAATTATTCGCAGTGTATCAACATAATATTCAATCGTTAAAGGAGTATGCAAATTCAAATAGTTATTTGAATTTGAAACGTTTCATTATAGAAATATTTCTACTGTAAATTAAATACAAAACACGTGCATTTCAAACGTACTAGTTTGATAAATGGGTGGCGCAACTACTGCGTCACTGAAATCACCTTTTTTTTTCTAACGCATTATACCAACGTTATGTATGATAATGTTGGTTTGACACATTTTTTTCGGTTTTTGGTAATTTTTTTGACCAGCATATGGAAGTAAACACAATATTTTTGTATGTTATTAAATTTAATATTATATTATTCAGAATCACTGAATAACGACGTCCGTAACATGCCTCTAATGTGGATATGCATGGGACCTGATTCGTATTTCAACTGGTATGTCTTTTCTAATACCTACCGGTACTTAACTATTAGCAGTCAAAAGGGGTCAAGTAAATTAATTTATTGAACATTAAATGTTGCTTTCACTCATTTTAATATAGAATTTAGAACAGATCACCGACGGCTTATAGCGGAACAACCAAGATTTATTTATAATTTATAATGGCCATTTCAATTTACGACTGTACTGTAATATAACAATAATAATAATAATAATTTATTGATCATTTTTATTTTAATTAGACATCATGCGTTACGTTATGATTTATAATCGTTATTATTGTGCCGTCGTAATGTTTATTTTAGGCAGTATAACAACATAACAAAGCTGTTACATTAATTGATATTCGCACATTATTACGGCGAA